CGGGGCGCCTTCACCGCAGTGGGGGGTCCGCGAAGGAAGGGCGCTCCTGCCCGCGCCAGCTTCCGGGGCCGGGCTCCTGACGGTCAGAGTAGATGTCGGGCACTGCTGGCACAGCGGTGTAGCTGTGTCCGAATTCCATCTCTAACAGAACAGGCCGACCGCCAAGCTCTTTAGCCCGCGGGTGGGAGTACTAGGTGCCACGGACTAGGATTTTGAAAATCTTCCGAGTTAGAACACGTAGGGCGCGTTTCATGCCACTTGTGATAAACGGGAAACTATCTTGATTGTGTGGTGGCTTTCATTCCCTGAAGTCACACTTTGTGTCTCCTTCCATGCTGGATTTGTGCTCAGCAAGAACTCAGTAATGGTAAATGAAGAATCATGCTTTGCAATAGCTGGGGGCTTGAAAGATAAATAGGGATAATCAGGGACTCTTTCAGAATTATTAAAATTCAGCAGCCCCGCTGGCCAACGTGAAGGCGAACCAGAAGTCATCCATCCTTTGATGCTGGAAATAGTCCACTAGCAGCAGTGACCAAGCCATATCTATTCCTGAAGGGGGTTTATACACCTCACAATAGCACTAACTTGCTGATTTCCAGAGAATGGGGCCAGGAGGACCCGAGTGGACGTCTGGTTGGCAACATACACGCCACCACTTTGGGCTTAACTTCTCAAAGCACGGCTTTTTTCAGTTATAAACAGAAGTACGAGTAGTGATGGTCAGTGAGGATGTGTATGTGACGCGTTAGCCCAGCACGCGGCATGGAAGTGTTGGGTAGTGCGGAGAAAGGCAAGGAGCTTGCGCAGTAAGTGCACTGATTAAGCCAACTGCTTTTAGACATGATGGCGATAAGAAAGGTCATATAGCAGCTAGGCCTGGTGGTGTGCTGAGGCGGGAGGATTGCAAGTTCAGGCTAGTATAGGCTACATAGACCTTGTCTCAAAAAAAAAAAAATTCATGTAATTGGTAAGTAGCGGAGATCCAGGATTGTAAACTTGGAATTGTTTCTATTCCATAATTGGGAGGCATACTGTAAGAACAGGTAATTTGTAGGACATAGAAAAGGAATTGCAACTTTGAATACTGAACTTAAGACTTTTTTGGGGTGGGGTACTGGGGATCAAACTTGGAACCTTGCATTTGCAAGGCAGGTGGCGGGACTACTGAGCTAAATCCATGGCCCTCATCACTTTTAATATTACACATCTATGTGCAGCATGCAGGTCTGACTGCCTGGAAGATGTACACTTGCTCCTCAAAATTTTTCTCTTGAGGATATTGTTAGACGCTACTTAACAGAGTTGCCATCGGTCTGATCCAATTTGAAGTGACTTGGATTTCGGAGAAAAAAGGCTTAACTTTCGACAGAAGTGTGACTGCGCATTTGGTTTGGATTAAGGAAGAATGCACGAACAGAGACAGGAAAGACCATCACAAGATTAGACAACAGTATGGGCAGATATTTCTTCAATTCTAAAACAACACATTGTTTTAAAAAATAGCATTTTATAGTGGGGTTGGTTACAAAGTTTGTATAGCTTTCAGTCAAGTCTATTAATATTTGAAGTAGTGAGTTAGAAATCAAGTTGAAACAAAGCTACCTTCTACTGAAATTATTTAAAAAGACTTGTCAGGAGGCTGAGGCAGGGGGATCATCGCAAGTTTGAGGCCAGCCTGGGCTGCATAGTGAGTACAAGTCCAGCCTGAACTGTGCAGAAACACCCTGTTAAAGAAAAGTGTGTTGGTAAACCAGCTTCGCTTCCTAATTGTTTTGAAATAAGGCCAGCACCTCATTTCCCTTTTATTTCCCTGGGAATTGTATAGTGCATAACAGCCCTTGTCTGGCTAGGAGTGTCTTGATGGGACTGCATTTCTGTGACAGGGCCTTGAAACGAATGGGATGGTGCTGTAATTACCTTTCTTGTTCAGACAAAATACCCGACCCCCAAGGCTAAGGGAGGAAAGGTTTATTTGCTCATAGTTTGTAGAAGTTTTAGACCATAGTCAGCTGGCTCTAAGGTAGGATGCGGATGGCACATGGCAGAGGGGCATCGCAGAGGAGAAACAGTTCATGACGAGCAGCAGAGAGCAGTGCAAGCAAAGGACAACCACAGCTCCTTCTGTCCTTTCTGTCTCATCCTGGCACTTAGGGCGGGCAGCACTCACACCCTTCTCCTAGTGCCCTTGAGCCCGGCCTGCACCATGAGTCAATGCCAGCGTCACACGCTCCAGATCCAGCCACCTCTGAAAAAGCCCCGCCTGTGACTGCAGGAGGCTTTGCGGGGACACCGAGACACAGCCAGAGCAGGTGGGTTACAGTTCCCCCTCCAGGAATTTACATCTTCAAAACATTGCTTTATGAGCGAGACTGAGTGTAAATGTTGGGAAATGGTTTAAAACAACACATTCTAAATTTTGTCTACAGAATTAGATATTGTTCCTAGATCACCTAGTGCATTTCCGAGTGCACATTTTGAGAATTTGGATAGTTTCGCTGGTGTACTTCCGGGCAGACTCTGAATAATGAGCCCTCTCGGGGACCTGTTCCAGGTCGCGGGATCAGACCTCTCATTACTGTGCTGCAGTTTAAAATCAGGAACCTTCAGTGAAAGTGGTAGGCGATTTCCAGCTTGCTTTGGATTCAGATGCTAGTTGTGGTGGAGTGATTGATACAGTTATGCAGTGTGAACAGTGCTGTTTTGTTGGAGTTGTCTGTGGCAGAGCCTGTAACCTACTTAGCACCAGGACCACTTGTACAAAATGTGGACAGTGAAAGTAAGGCCATGTGGAAGGAAAACTTTGTTCAAAAGCCGCAGGTCAGCCTTGGTTTTGGTTTTGCTGTGACCTGTTTTAAATGAGTCTGTTAAGTGGATAATTTGTTAAACTCCTTGCTCTGCATCATGTATTCTGGAAATAAGAAATTTTAACATTAGCACGATACACTGTCATGCTTTTCTGCACCATTGAAATACTTCACTGTTTCAAGTGTATAAAAACACAGCTACCATATTGTTCAGAAGTTTTTGTTGTTGTTCTTCAAGCCCCAACAAGGAATAGACCATGGAATTTGTTCCATAGTGAGGTGTTTTTAGTTTTCACTGCATGATTAATGACCTTAGCCTCATTCTGGAAAACTTGAATTCTTCTTGTCCATTAGAACAAGTTCCTGCTTTACCCAAGTTTAATGTGATCTCTAAGGAAAACTTCTGTTTGGGTCAGGTTGTTTGAAGTTTTGTTGCCTATTCTATGAGAAAGTATGTTTCTCCTTAGCAGGTATAAACTAGCATCTTGGTAAATCTGAAACATAATCAGATGATTCAGAAGAATTTTAGATGGAAATTATTCTGCTACATTTTATTTGCTATTGTGTTACAAGTGAAACCAACAGTGACAATATTACATTATAATTAATAACAAATGTATGATATGTTCTGTTCTTTTTTTTTGTACGGGGGATCAAACTCGGGACCTTGGGCTTGGGAAGCAGGCGGTGGAACCATTGAGCTAAATCCCGGCCCCTATTCTATTCTTACTGTGTGTCATTTGAAACATAATTGATGCAGAAGACTTAAACCGTGACTTGGGTTCTTGGGTATTAGCTCAGCTGTTGTCTGTAGGAGGAAAGGCAGCACAAGGTGTCCATACAGCCTCCCTGTTAGCCTGCATGGGAGAGACTCCCTGTCTCTGCTCCACAGTTGTCAGACATGGCCCATCTACCAGGAGGGAAAGAGACTTCTAAACCCAGAGGCTGTGTAGGCCAAGGCCCACCTTAAAGCTGCAGTGCCCTTCTTCGACATCCTTCTTTGAAGATTCTGTGTCTTTGTTGTAAATGAACATTAAACCTTTTGAGATGATTGGTAATATCCAAGGTGTTTTTTCCCCAGAGGTGGGAGTCACAGTGAGTGGTTATTAAACGTGTGTATTGTGCCAGCCACCTAAACTGGACTCAGGTTAAGGACCCAGTTCAGCCCCACAGTCTGAGTAGGCAGGCAGAAAGAATGTAGAGACCACCTTTAAGGGCCCGGAAGGGAGTTTCTGGATGTCACTGTAAGCAGAGCAGGGTGTTAGAATGCAAATCAGCAGGGAGGGTTTTTCAGAAAGAACACAGTGGGTGGAAGAACGAAGTTGGACTGGGGTTGCAGCTCAGTCATGGGGGCAGCCGGTGGGAAAAGAAAAGGTTGTGACTGCAGAGGTTTAGACTGGTGGGAAACAGGCCTGGGTCATGCTGGAAGGACCTTGGTGCTAATTAAAGAACTTGGACTGTGTCCGATTAGATGTCCCTGGAAGGGCCGGAGCAGGATGTTGACAAGAGCAGAGTGCCTGCGAGGCTCATGGAGTAGGATGGGAATGTGAGCCCCAGCCCGGCCAGTCCCTCAGTGAGGCGCAGGCCGCAGGCTCTGGAGTCTGCTCTGCTGCCTACAGGTCCGTGGTATCGAGCAAGTTATTGAGACACCCTGTGACCCAGTTTCTTCATTGTACAACCCTGTTGCTAGGACACTTGGGATTGTTAAATGACATAAAAATCCTCTCATTGCCTGGCAGGCGGTCAGCACTATATGCGTTAATCATGATATTCCTGTTCTTTGCTCGAGGGCCTAGTCAGCGAATGTATAAACACGACTGGCAGCGCATAGCTATCTTCAGCCCTATGGGTCTCTACAAGGATGTGTGTGTGCTTTGTATAGTAAAATGTATTTGGCTACTGAGGATTTGCATAAAAATCATAAATCTCAGGTGCTTCCAAGTAGGGTGTACTTAAACAGAGAAAAAGCAGAGTTTACCTTTGTGTGTATGTGTACATGTTTGTGTGTGTGCACACATGCGTGTGCTACTGTGGAACCAGGGATTGGATGCAGGGCTTTGTGCACGTTTGGCAAGTGCTTCACCCTCAAGCTCTTCCCCAGTCCCCAGTTTATCCTTTTAGTTTGCATAATCTCCTACTTTTATATCACGGCTTTTAATCAAGCATGTGAAATATTTTTCCACCAGTAACCTAAGTGACAGTAGGATTTATGTTTATGCAGCAGTGAACGTAAATGCACTTTGCTTATTGCTCCATTGATGCACTTAGTATGATGTGCTACTCTTGCTCTGGGCAGCGGAAGACTTGACAAGAACCAATGAGAAGAGGGGTAGAGTGAAAAGGGGACACCAGCGAGGGCACCAGGGCTGCCTGGGTGCTTGGGGCCAGCAGTCGTGGCTTTGCATGCAGCTTCAGGGCTCATGACATCACGGCCATGCAAAGCTACTTAACTTTTTGCAACCTCAGATTTTCCATCAGAAAATGGGGATGTTAAATAGGCAAGAAGCTCACAGTGGGGAGCTGGGTATCTGAACAATCTCCCGTAAGACACCAGGGACAGCACCTGGGATGCGATGGATGCTAAGGGCGTGCGGTTCCCCTCTCCATATCAGCACCTTGCTCTCGCTGCCCAGTCTCTAAGCTGTAACCTGCAAGGCAGGCTCAAGAAAATCACCTTTCCTCTTCAGACCTTCAGGTTTCCCAAACCTGCTCTCTCCCACCGGACTCTCTCCATCCTTAGCATCACCGCTAACCTCCCTCACCGAGTGCATTGAGAAATTCTGTCCGCTTCCCCCGCTTCCTCCTGTAGACTACTGCATCCGCGTGGGCATTTCTTCTGGTCCTGAGCACCAGTCAAGCACCACACTGTGGATTCCATCCTGTCTTGTCACCCACACTATCAGCCTTGTGTCTCACCTGTACTTTCTGCCTCTCTCCTCTCAGTACAGGCTTCTCGTACTGTTGAAAAAGTTCCCTCCCCAGATTCTTTCTTTAGCTTTTGTGCTGTTTTCTTTTCCCCCAGCATGGAGGGAAAAGTGGACGTGTTATCCCCACTTCCACCCCAACTCAGGCAACCCTGGGCTTCTGTTCCTACACCAGAGAGGGGTGGTAGTCAGCGAACACGTTTCGCTCTCTCCAGCCTTACCTCCACCTTCCATCGGCATCGTCTTGTTCTCCTCTAACCTGGCCAGTCTGTCTTCCTGTCTGAATTCTCTCCCTCTTCCCCTTAAATACTGTTGTGTTCCCAGAGTCTGTCTGTGCTCATTCCCTTTGCTGTTTACTTTCTGCCCCCTTCTTGGAGTGATCCCCTGTACCTTTGTGATTTTTTACCCTCGTCTGTATGCTCCTTCTCTTTCTGCTGTGCTTTAGCCTGAGTTCCAGAGCTCGGTTCAGCTCTGTGAGGGACATCTCCATCTGGGTATTCCACAGACTCAGTGAGTCCATGACTGAATGGTGCTAATCCTCCCTGTCCTCCTCTTCCTTGATCTGCACACCCCTTTGCCCCAAGCCTGCACTAGCTCCAGTTTCCTGGCGTGGCTGGTGGATCCGCTGTCCCATCTCAAATTTGAAACCTGGGTACCCCCTGACACCACCACCTCCTCTCTCTCCATCTGAGCGAGATCCGAATGGAAACAGCTGCCCTGCAGGACCTGGGGCAGCTCTTGGGCCTTGATGAGCTCGCGCACGATCTCAGTTCTGTGCTAGGCAGCCTAGCCGACCACTCTGTGTGGGCTGATGCTGGGAGGCTCACCTGCCCGGAAGGTACACAGAGGGGCCAGGCCCAGGGAAGGAAAGGTGTTTGCCCACATCTGTCTTCACACAGATGGGCTGAGCGAAAAGCTGTGAGGATGTCACTGAAAAATGGGTCCCAGGTGCACTGCAGTTCTCTAACTTTTGTCCTTAGTCCTCTGTGGGGTGGCAGGGAGAAGATGGCAGGGGCTGGTGGGCACCAAGTTTTCCTGCCTAAGCAGAAGTCCTCTTGCTTCTTGTCTCAGAGACGTTTTCGATGTGGGATAACAGCACACATCTTCTTGAAATCTAAATATAATTCTGTTTTACATATTTTGCCACTAAATAATGTTTTCTAGTAGATCATGAGTAGGCAGAACACGGCCTTTGAATATGTAAAAATTAAGAAGCTTGTAATTTTACATAATCTAACAGAAGAGATTTGCTTGTGTCACCTACTTGTAAATGTGTGAGACGAGGTCACACAAAACAGCGTTGCTCACTGGAAGCAGAGCTTCCTGTGACCGCAGGCGAAGCACTCTCTCTAGTTCCAGTGGGAAAAGCGCCACGGTCTGAGACCTGGGCTCCTCGTGGACTCTGGGCATGTGGTGCCAAGTACAGAATTCCTGTGGCACCTGGGCTTGCAGCTGCCTGCTGAGCTTGCCGGGGTCGCCAAGGAAGTGGTCCTGGTCGCCTGGCCACAGAGGTGACGCAGCCCCTCTGCCTGTTCTGCCGGCTCTGTGTCTCCGGCAGTGTTGTAGGGTGACTTTTACAACCTCCTCCTTCTCTGGATGAGCTGCTTCTCCTGGGAGTCGCTGCCGTGCGCGGTGGCAGGCAGATGCTTTTACTGAGCTGTTCTGCCCTCGCACTGATTAGGAGACCCCATCTGTTTGTCTTGTCAGCTTAATGAATTGAGGGCTCATAAATGTAGCTGACTTCTAAATGAGAGCCGAATCACAGGAAGAGCAGGTTAATGGGCTCTTTTTCCAGATATGGACGAGCAATTACATTGATAGCTCTAGGAGAAAAGTAGATTATATAAACAGTTACTTCACCCGTTCTGGTGACCCTTGGTGATTCTGTGTGCTGATGTTTTCTCAGGGACAGGAGCCTGCCTATCCTGTCTGAGAGAAAGGAGATCATCTGCCTGACTCAAACAAATCAACGATTAAGTACAAGCCACCAACATCCTTCTGCTGTATGATACTCAGAAGTGTTTTTGGGGTACTTGTGTTTGAACTCAGGACCTTGTGCTTGTGAAGCAGGTGGTGGTACAACTGAGCTATGTCCCTGGCCCCGGAGGAATTTTGTAAGGATTATAAATATTTAAATAACAACAAAATGAAATGAGTTAGTGACTGGGGTCTGCGGCCTGGTGCCGTGTGACCGACCAGGGGGCCACGAGGGTGTGAGGTAGAGCTGCATAGACTGTGCAGCCTGACTTTCCAGAGACTGCATGAGCTGTGGCCTCAGTGCGGCCCCGGCAGCTTTTAAAGGCCGTTTCCACTCTGGCTGCTCTGCACTTGCAGTTAACCCGGACCTGGAACACTGTGACCCACGAGTGAACTGACCCTGGCCTCCTTCTTCCCCTCCAAGGAATGAATACATCCAGTTTCCCACCAGAGCTACACACAGCTGAGCAAACGTGTGCTGCACACCGGCATGTGCTCCAGGCACACTTACACGCCTGAAACACATCTTCACAGAAGTGCTGTGTCACGATCCCCACCTGGCACAGGCAGAGGCACAGGCACTGGCTCAGCATGGTTAGGTGACGCCGCCGGGGCTTCCACAGAGGTGGCTGTCGGACCTGAAATCCTCCCGTCTCAGCCTCCCTGAGTGCTGGGATTACAGGTGTGCACCACCATGCCTGGTTACAGCGTGTTTATTAATCTTCCATTTCTCGCCAGAATCTTTGTCAACAGCTTGTGTTTAGAAATACAGAATCCAGGGCCGGCCGGGGCTTTAGCTCAGTGGCACCATGCCTGACTGGCAAGCACAAGGTCCTGATTTCAAGCCCTGTAGCAAAAAGAAAAAAGAAATACAGAGTCTACCAAAAAAGATGTATACACACTTCAGGAAAAGAAAAGTAATGTGGTATTTTTTCAGCAGATGGTGCTACCCTGGTATGTGGGACCCCAGAGGATGTCATATATCAGAAAACCCATTACACCGCCGGCACTCAGAGAAGAAACTGAAAATGCCTGTGCAGCAATATCAGGGGCCACGGTCACCCAAGCAGCAGCTCGCCGTGCTAATAAACGTCTGGAAGCTCATGGCCACCACTCAGCACCTCCTGTCATTGTAGAGGCCAAGGTAACTTGCACGAACCTCACCATGTCTTAAGCAACTTAGTGTTAAAGTGTGCACCCGTTTTCCTCTTCCTGAGGCGTGTGTACGCACACTGGGGGGCTCTGCATGTGCACAGATATTCACAAATGCGTGCACTTTCTTATCTGTGCCTGCTCATGTTTATGCCAGGTGGCTTTGCTATTACAGAGAGCAGTGTGCAGGGGTTCAGGGCTGTCCGTGCTCTCACTCACGCTTTCTCGTTCTGAGCGTCCCAGGGCGTGTGCAGTATATCTCTTCGTGGCTTTGATGGGTATTCCCTGAAGTATATTGTACATCACTCCAGTTCCTCTACGTTTTCTGAGACTCGCTCTGCGGCCTGACACACGCTCCGCAGTGACCCGGTGGGCTGCTCTACCCACTGGATGTGTAGAGGTTCACGTGTCACCCGATGAAGCTCTTCGGCCTTCGGGACCCACATCCAGACGGTGTCCTCCCTGGGTCGTCCCCACGCTGTCCCCAGCCCGGTCGTAGTTTCTGCATGTGAGCTGCAGTCACCGCTGGCACTCAGCTGTCACAGCCATTATCACCAGCCTGACCTCACGGGTCTCCTTGTGCAGGGACCTTGCTAGAACTCCAGCTCCAGTCCCGGAAGCCTTTCTTCGGGTGGCACTTTAAAGCCTGGTGCTGTACAGCTGGCAGGGGTGGTCCCTGTGTCCCTCCTAGACACCGAGCTGCAGGCTGCATCCTGTGGCATCCGGAGCGCCTGTGCCTCTGGGGCCCCAGTGCTGTAGCTCGGGCAGGAGACTCAGTGCGAGTTGAATCAACCCTCAGGTCTCCTGATTTCCAGCCAGCATTCAGCGTGGAAAGCGCTATAGGTGGTCGCCATCCTCTGTGGACTCTGACCCCACAGGGAGAGGCCCCACCCTCCCGGTGAGGACTTGGGAAAGGGGAATTGCCTTTTGGCTGCCACACACCCTGTAATCTGCCCTGTAAAAACTGTAGGCCTGAAAGAGCAGGCGTAAAGTCAGCAGGGGCAGGAAAGAGTTCTGGCCATAAACTCTAATCCCACCAAGATAATCAGGCAGTGCTTATAGTGCAGTCTGATCTCAGATGAGGAAAGCCGTATCAGGTTCACCCCGAGGGCCACTTCCAGGGAACCAAGGAAATTGTTCTGCCAGAACCCACCTGTTTGGGACTGTTCTGGAAAGTCTGAAGATCAGAGAGAGGAATTCGCCCACAGGCCAATTTACACTTTGCCTGATTCAGGACAGAGTCTGATGGTTACTGGGGCTGGTTGGGATTCTTGGATTTCTGAGCAGTAATACTGTGAGGAAGGTTACACACAGAGTGCAGACTCTTCTCTGGTGACCTCTGGCCACGGAATTGTGTGAGCGATACAGCGCCTTCACTTCAGCAGTGCACATGCAGTGAGGCAGGGGGCAGGACAGTGGCCCGCAGCGGTGCCCAATAGAGGACTAGGTGGCACTGTTACCCCTACCATGGTGACAGTGTTTATTGACAGCTGGTGGAGGACAGGACACTCCCAGGACGGGAGACCATCAAGCCGCCTGAAGCGGGGGAGAGGGCTGCACAAGCCCAGTGCTGGCTCCCGGTGGGAGGAGGGCGAGCTCTGGGTGGCCCAAGGGCCCCAGAAGGTGACACTTGTGGTCACTGCCATCCATATGTCTGCATGGGCGTGTCAACTTCTGAACAGATTTGTTTCCGGGGTGTGAAGAAGCCACTCACATGGCTCTGAGCTCCAGGCAGCAGCCCCTGTTAAGGGATGACTAAGGCAGCCCGCGCACAGCACAGCAGCAGGTCAGAAGGGCAGTGCTCGGGGAGTGGGGCCCCCTGGGCGGCCCATTGAGCCCCGCAGGCTCCTCCTCCACTCCCATCTCTCCACCTCTCCCCAGCCAGATGTCAGCTCCTTGGGCTTTTCCTGTGTAGGTGGGGAGAGCAGGACCCGAGGACTCCGGCTCAGCTGTCACCTGCGCCTGCAGGCGGCTTTGCTCTGAGTCTCCGTTGTGCATTGTGCCAGCTGGGAGGCACCGGGACCACGTCCTCCGTGACCCTGTTCTTAGGAGAAAGTCAGCCTCCACCACCCAGACGCAGGTTACATACTCAGCCCTGAGCTCGGAGCCAGAGTTGTTTTCAGTATCCGCGTGCAAGTATCTTTCTGAAGCTTGTTAACTAACGTACGACAGGGCCCCCGTTCCTCTCGCTGCTGGCAGCAACGAGAGCTCACCCTTCCTGCCCAGCCCTTCCAAGGGCCCCCCACTCCTCCCACCACGGCGGGGCCGTCCCAGGTTGTACCCTTGTGAAGCAGGGCAGCATTGTAATGTGTAGAACTGGCAGGCGCCCTCCCTGGCTTCTGATGGGCGGAGAGGGGCTCCCTCCTCATTTCTGCGGAGCAGCCCTCATCAGTGGCAGAATGTTGTGTTTAAATTTTTCCCTCAAAGGGAAAGGCAACAAAAGGGAGGGCAACAGCGCCTCCTGGAGGAGCAGAGCCGTAAATCGCGACCCAGCTGTGCCTCCGCCCCACTCCCTCCCCACAGCAGCGAGGAGGCCCGGCCTGCTTTCTTCCTCCCCTGCTCAGGCAGCCGCCCTGCTGGCCTGCTGGCTGGACGGCCTGGACCTTGTTCCCAGCCCCTCTAGGATAAGACTCCTTCACTCGGGTGCCCTCTACCTCACTTGAGAAAATCTCCCCCCGGGCCAGCTAGTTTTAAGTGTTTTCCTTCCCGTATTCTGCATGATTCCAGATTGTTGTCCAGCCGTGACTCAAAAGCTGTGATTTTCTGAGAGTGAGCCTGTCATTTCCTGAAATGTTTAAGACAAACAAAAACAGACAAACAAAACAAAAGATCCTAGAGTCAGATCTGTGAGAAGGTAAGGCTTTTCCAGGTGTGGTTGTGCACCGGGAGGCTGAGACAGAAGGATCTGGAGGCCAGTCTGGGCTACATAGTGATTCTCAAAAAACAGACAAACAAACAAAACAAGATGAGGCTTCAACAGTAAAAGATAAAACCTTGGCTTCTACTCATGCCCAAAAGTTGCAAAACCTCACTGAAGATGTTAGGAAATTCTTTTCAGCAAAGGCCTTTTGTAGACCTGTTAGAAATCCACAACAGCAAGAGACCACAGCCTTGCCTGCAGAGGAACTGGGCCCCCTGTAGCTGCTTGCCTTCCCGAATCCATCCTTTCCTGCTTGCCAACATTTCTCCCTTGCCTGCTGCCACCGTTGTAAGATTTAGCACAGGCAGTGCACATCTGTCATCCCAGCACTCTGGGAGGGTGAGGCATGAGGATATCACAGCCTGGGCTCTTAGTGACTTAGCAAGAACCTGTCTCAAAATAAAAAGAAAGGCTGGGGACATTGCTCAGTGCCAAGGCCCCAGGCTCAGTCCCCAGCCCTGAGGAAACCTGGCCAGCCCGAGGCACTGGAGGACACATTGGCTGGTGTGTGTTGGGGTCCCTCTAACTTCTGCCTGGCACACCCAGTTGTGGGCTGTCCTACCGTGGCTGCAGTCACACCGGCTAAGGCTGCCGCGTCCCATGAGTGTTCCCCTATGCCCAGGGTATTTATTTATGGGACTCTCTTACTGTGTGTAGTAGCTGCTTCTCTACATAATTAACAGTCTTTGCAGGGAACTTACCCGTCCATATTTCTGTGGGCGCCATCTCCCTACTTACCTTTCTTAGACCATGATGCCCCAGATGCAGTTATCAGTATTAAAGAAAAATTCCCAGTTAGGGTTTAGTAAGCTCAAAAACAACTGAGCATGTGGAAAAAGCAGGGTTTCTAATGTTACTAGAAACTAACCAGTAGGAAGCCATGTCTGTGAGTATTGTACTTAGAACTGGCTTTACATCTTCATATTTAATAGTAATGAAGTTAGTGCAGAGCAGGGGCCTGGGGTTCCTGGGAAGACAGAGCCAGTTTTCTTTTAACAGCATCTGCACCAACAGTGGCTGAAGAACAGAAGGCCTCCGCCCTTCGGCACCAGAGATCAAGGGCCAGAGAATTCAGAGACAAGGAAAAGGCAGTAGCAATCCACTTATCATTTTCAGGAGTTTACACACCAAGGCTGAGGCAGGAGGATCCCAAGTTCAAGTCCCTCCTGGGCAACTGAGTGAGACTGTGTCTCAGAGAGAGGTGGGTGCTGGGAATGCAGCTTAGGGTTTGGTGCCCTGGGTGTGGCCCTCCAGTACTGAGGGGGGATATCAGGGGCCACCCTCGTTTGAGCCTCTGGTGGGGGTGGCACAGCGCAGCAGGGGTGCAGGTCCGAGGGGGCATAGGAGGGAGAGCAGGGCGGGCTCCCACAGCCCCTTTGAGCACCTGGCCCCAGTTTGGGGAGCTCTCCTGAGTCCCTGTATCTGTGAGGCCCACATCCCCTCTGTCCTGCTGCCCTGATCACAGAGCGTGCAACACAGGGCCTTCTCAGGTCAAGTTCAGCTGTCTCCAGGGCTTGGCAGCCACATGGGACTGGTGGATCTGTATGTGTGTGGTGTATGCACACTCCTGTGTGTGGTACTGGAGATTGACCCCAGGGCCTTTGCACTGAATTCCACCCCAACCCCTTAAAAATTTGTATTGTATTTTATTTGTGGTACTGAAGATTTAATGCAAGTCCTTTCCACTGAGCTATCTCCTCAGCCCTTTTTCATTTTGAGATATTATCTTGCTAAGTCACTAAATTGCCCAGGTTTATTTCCAATTTGTGATCCTCCTGCCTCAGCCTCCCAGAGTGCTGGGATTACAGGCCTGCACTATCATGCCTGGTTCCTTTGTAAATTTTGTTTGTTTAGACAGGTTCAGACCAAAGATCCTCATGCCTCAGCCTCCCACGGTGCTGGATTACAGTGCAGCACCACCCCTGACTACATACAGGTTTCTTTTCTGGAGTATTTTAAAACGGATCTGGACCGCCCTATAGCCCCGTAAGTCATGGCATCTTTCACCCTGTACCATTCAGCGCCCCAGCTGGGGTCTCAGGCTTCCCATCTGCTGTCTTAGTATTTGTCGT